CGCGGAGCCTCGGGAACGGCCGCCCCGCCGCCCGCGAGCCCGCCGCCTGGCTGCCGCCGCCGCGCCGGCCGGGATCCATTTTATGTGGCGGCGCGCCCGCCTGACGGTGCGCGCCGGGGGGCGGGGGTCGTAAATCTCGCCCCTCGCGGGGAAGTTACTGGAGAGCGGCCCGCGGCCGGGGGCCCTTAAGGAAGCGCCGCCGCGCGAGCCCGGCGCGGAGGGGCAGCGCCGAGCGAGAGGGCTGGACCGAAATGCGCCGAGCCTCCCCGCCCCCAAGTTCTTTCTCTTCCTGGCGAGGCTTGCAGTTCTGCCTTTGAAACGCCGTGTAAAAGGGACTGAGTCACAAACAAGTCCGCAAACATGCCGGGTCCTCCTCCCCACCCCCCCCCACCCCCGCCCTTTGTTCTCCTAGACCTGCCCTGCAAACCTTTTCTGGGATTGCCCTACCGACCCCCGGCCGGCCCGGGGGCACCCTCCCAACAGCAGCCGGACGACCCGGGGTGGGGGGAGCATGTCCCCCCACCTCCGCCCGCGCGCGCCCCAATCTGCGACGTGCCGAGCCGCCCGGGGCCCGCCCAGGTGAGCCCGGATCTGGCCGGCCGCCGCAGGGCAGGGGAAACTGAGGGATTCGCCGCGGTGCACACGCGCAGCGCGAGCCTCGCGGGCCTGGAAGGGGGGGGGCGGTGTGTGTGCGGGCTGGCCTCGCCGCGCCGCGCCCCGCTCGGTCCCCTCGGCACCCCTCCTTCCTTTGCCGCCCGCGCCTGGGGCCCGCGGAGCCCCTGGAGCACCCAGCCACCGCCCCCTGTCCGATCCCCCGCGGCCCCCGGCGCAGCGCGCGGGAGCGCAGGAAACCGGCGTATGCCAGGCTCCACACGTGGCTGCTCCAGGGTGTCATTTTTCATTTCCCGGGAGGACATTTCTCCCGGTGAGCCGGCAGGTCTGTTTTGCTGTGACCTTTAATTAACACCCCGCGAGACGCCTCGAGAGGGACCGGCCCAGTGCGGGGATCACGTGAGGTGTAATGGCATCTCCGCGCCCAGAGACACCGGCCTGGGGGTGGGCGAGGGCGCAAAGGACGTTTGGGGCTTTCCAGTCGCTGGCTTCCTTCTGAGATAGGGAGGGGGCAAGGAAGACAACCTTCTGGGGTGCAACGCCCCTCCCGCCTCCCTGGGGGAAAATTCCTTCTGTGCCTCGCTCCCGCTGCCATCCACCCACCCGCCCCCTCCCGCCCCAGCCCTGGCGTGGGAAGATTTCACAGCCACCAAAGCGAGGTAAGAAGGTCAAAATGAAGATGTCGAGAACCGTGTGGAAGTTTCCATTACGTTCCTGCTTCCAATTTAAAAGCGATCGCATCGGGAGAGGACCTTAGGGGGGCAGGTACGCCTCCAGGCGGCACACGCCAGCTCCCAGGCACATCTGTATTCCGCGGAGGTGCCGCGGGAAACGGCATCGCCATTAGCTAGCTACGCGCTGCGCCACCAGTGGAACAGCAGCGTGCGGCCAGGTGAAATGGACCAGCCCGTGAGGCCGCGGTGGCGGGGGGTGGGGGTGCTGGGGAGGTGGGGTGTCGAGGCAGAACTGTTGGGGAGCTGCGAGATCCACCTTGAAGACGGAGGAGACCAGAGCTGGTCTGATTTGCATCCCCAAGTAGCCGGGTCCCCAAAGCGTGTTTGGTGAGCTCAGAGCGCCCTCTGTTGATCACAGTTGACAACGGGAGGCCCCGGCAGGAGAGTTTGGTTCCAGGCTTTAAAAAAGGGATGTAAGTAACCTTTACGTACAGTGAAATCTTCTTGAAATCATACACAAATCTTAAGTGTACGATTCTGGGAACTTTGGTAAATATATACTCCCAGAGAAGCCACCACCTCGATCAAGGTATGAACTTCTGTTACTCCACAAAGTTCTCCCCTGCCTCTCCCCAGGCCGTTCCCACCCCTCATACACAGCCACTGCTCTGATTGCCATCACCATTGA